GATACATTGTTAGCCTGGGCAGCATTTGAAAAGCAAAAGATTTAGAATCCAAGTACGACGTGCTTTTGTGATTACATTCTGGTTCTGTGTGAGTGTGAGAGTGTGTGTGTGTATGGTTGTGTAAATCACAGAGCCATGGTTCGTGGAGTTAGGAGGATGGATATGCCATTAGAGCTGGTGACACACACTCAAACCTTCACAAACTCAATATAGGAAATCAATATGGCTACAGAGCAAGCCAGCTGGATCCAGATACAACAAGTCACACACAAACACACACAACAGCAGCAACAATCATATCAGTGAACAGAGAGGTACTCACTATCGTGTAAAGTATGTTGCTGCAGGTCAAACTTAAAACACTTTCTCATACACAAAACCAAAGGCTGCAACAGTTAATCTGTTTTGATTTACAACACAAGCTGACATTCATATTCTTTATCTAAAGGTCAAGAGGTTTGTGCTCGTAAACAATACCTTAATGAATCATACACTAACCTTCACACAAAGTGTTGGTCAAACATGTATTACACATACAATTGTTAAAAGGATAAAGTGATATTTTAGAAAGATATTGAATAATTAATGTCTTACTTATTGTAAATCACTCTTTATATGGCTTCAGTTTGGAGAAATACTTTAATTTGGATTAAAGTGATGAGCTGACAGCTAACTCTGGCCAAAGTTTCTGCTGTTACCATAATTAAGATTGTAAAGTAGATTTGCTAGCTGGCTCGCCATTAATGTTGTTGGTGTTTTTACTTTAGAATGAAACAAAACACTCAAGAACTGATTGCTGGAGAGGGTGTACTTTCAATCATAATTATAATTTCACATAGCTCCGACAATCTGCAAATCTGTATGTCTCCCTCAGAGAGTAGCAACAACACTTACTTTATACCACCTACTTATCTGTAAGATAACAAGAAAACATCACATTTTCAGACAAACACCGTCTTTACGGATGAACGTGCTTTCAAATCTGTGGTAGGTATTCTAACCCCATGCAAGATTTCTCTGAGATAGTGTGACGCTGAACATAAAGTGTTCAAATTAAAAATGGTTTTGGCCCCATTTGCAACCTCCCACTCTGTCTTCAAACAACTCCAGTCTAAAATAATCCATAGCAGTGGATACAGTTGATGTTGTGAACCTTTGCCTTGCTGTCAGGTTAGCACATCTTGATTATACTGGCAGAAATATCAAGATATTCCTGCTGCAAATGCCACAAGCTGCAGCAAAAGTGCTACTGCTAGCACTTTTGCTGCTATCTGTTGTTGCTTCTTTTAATTATATATATTTTTTAGATTAGGGCTGCTTTAAGACAACAGCAATTCATTTTGTCTTGAGCTTGCTTGGAGTAGCTGATAGCTTGTTGATTCAGTAAGAATCAAATGGTTTCTACAAACGGGTAATTGAAAAAGTGATCTACATCAGGTAAAATGGTAACTGCTCTGCTCTGAATCATCAATATGAAATAAAATATAAAAATAACGAGTTCTGATGTTTTTCTTTTAAATATTTTCATAATACATTCCATTGGCCCACCTCCTCGATGTAAAAATTGAATGACTTGTTTTTAGCGTTTTTGGACAATATTGTTTTGTTCAGATGTTTGTTTGTACTGTACCTTGGTTATAAATAAAGTTTGAGGGAAAAAAAAAGAAGGGAAATGAAATTATATATTGTTCCATATTTCCCTAACAGAGCACTTCACTATTAGGCTGCAGGTTTACTTGTAGTCCTTAGTTTCCAAAAGCAGAATGTGAGGAAGATCTTTCAGTTATCAGGCTCCTCTCTTGTGGAAACAACTTCCAGTTTCTGTCTGTGAGGCTGACACATTGTCCAGTTTTTAGTAGGGATGCACCGATCCACTTTTTTTTACTTCCGATCCGATCCCGATACCTAAGTCTGAATATCGGCCGATACCGATCCAGTTCCGATATCATGATCATCATTGATTTTATATGAGGCTGTAATAATCTGCTCTCAAGTACAATTTGTACAAATATATGATGCATGTCCAAAAAGGCAACTTGAGGTAAGTTTTATTAATGTTGAATAAGTTTTAAAGTTAAAATTAAATTCTAACACAAAACATGTTTTTTTTTTTTTTTAATTCCTAGCTTTAAAGTGGATATTAAAGTGATTAATTTAAGTGATTGTTTAAAGTTATTTTATATATTTTTAAATAAGGGGCAGATATAAGATTTTTTCTTCTTCTTTCTGCACTCTTTTCATTCAGTGTTTTCTTTTTGATGATTTTTTTATTGTTTCTTTTAAATGAATGAATAAATGAATTAAATAAAATGTTAAATGGCTTCAAACATCTGCTAAGTTCATGACATAAACCAACAGACATGTTCCTGTTTTTAGTATTTTACATCACTTTATAATGTAGCTGTTTTTGTTTTTAATATAATTTTCAAATCATATGTTTTTTATGATTGTTTACTGTTGTACTGATAAATATCTCCTGGAGGGTGAACTGTATCTTGACTGCAAGTATCAAGCTGTGAAATCCTTCATTTTCTACAACTGATAGTGGTTGGTCATGAATCATGATGAAGTTTAGCAACTTCTCTGTAAAACATTTGAGCTCCGTGGTTTCAGCGACGTCTTCTTCTTGTTCAGTCCGAAGCAGGCAGCCTGATTTGGGGCAGCCACGCTCAGTCTGTCCCTCCTCAGAGACGGGCAGACTGAGCGGGGCAGATTGGACACGGCTGGCCAAGGTCGAGTTGGCCGCCCCGGGTTGAGCAAAGAGCAGCGCCCCGCTGAAGCCATGGAGCTCGAATGTCCATCGTAAAACTAACTTTACCACTGTTTAATGTGGTGCTATGGCTCTGCAGACATTGCACGTTGCTGCATTGCTTTGTGGTGTTTAGTGTAAAATACTTTCACACAGCGGACATGTTTAGATGAAAAGTTTGTTAGCTGTTAGCCACAGTACTGCTAACTCAGTCCTCACGTTGTAGCTGGCTGCAAACTATGAACTGGATTTCCTGAATGTGAGGCGGGTCTTATTACTCTGGGTTCATGAGACACGCCACAGTTAAGGAAATCCATTCCATAGTTTGAAGCCAACATGCATTGTGGATCGGAAATATCGGCAGGTGTATCGGAAAATCCGATGCGTAAATTATGCTGGTATCGGAGGTCGATACCGATACTGGATCGGATAGACCCCATCCCTAGTTTTAAGACTTTCCTTTTTGACAAATTCTATAGGTTGACTTGGGTTTCCTGAGGCATCCCTTAGTAAATGCTACTATAGGCTTAGAAAGCAGCATGACAAACTGACCACATTGCCTCACTCTGCTGCTGTCTTTAGTTGCTCTACTCTACCTTTTTGTATTTGTACTTTGTAATTATTTCTATCTCAACATGTGTTTTTTGTCTTTCCTCCTATAGAAAGTACACCTGGACCTGTCATTCTGTGTTTGTTTCTCCTTCCTATTCCTCTCAAACCTCAACTGGTCGAAGCAGGTGGCCACTCGCCCTGAGCTTGGTTCTGATGGAGGTTTCTTCCTGTTAAAAGAGTGTTTCCTTTTCACTGTTGCCTTTTTGCTTGCTCAGGATGGGAGATTGTGATAAAGTGCAGATTCAGTGCAACCTACTGGCTTTCTTAGATAGATAACTTACTAATTGGCTTTTAATGTGTGTGACTGTTTTTTTGCACAATGCCTTGAGACGACTTCCGTTGAGACTCGGAGCTATAGAAATAAACTGAACCGAATTTAATTAAAAAACAAAAAATAGAACAAAGAGCAAGGATCACATTGTTTATCAATGATAATGGAGGCAAAAGAATTGGTCAAATTCAAAGAAAAGTCAGAGCATGTTGTGGGTCTAATAGATATTCAACTACACCATTATGAACCTGAACCAACAGCTGGATCTCAGGAATCAAATGAGAACTTTGTCATATGTGGATTCTGATCATGCACATCTCCATGACTGAGTCCAACGATCAGATTGGTAACATGGGTTGGTGAGAACTGATTTTCTCTCCATTCTTGTCATTTGAAAGTAGAATTTGGCAACTTTGCTGTGTAAAAGTCTGTATTTCTATTATTAGACCATAAAGGCACTGCTACATATAAATTAGTAGCAGATTGTTGCTAATAGCATAATATTATTGACACAGTATACATGAGTATGTATATGTATGCTCACAGGATATATGGGGGGTGAGATGGGGTACAGGAAGGGCAGCTGACCAGGGACCTGAAAGCCTCAGGTTAGATCCCCAGCCATTCCCACATGTTGTGGTGTCTCCGTGCAAGACACCCAATCCCCAATTGCTCCCTGGGCACCTACATAGCTGCCCACTGCTCCACCTGGGTGTATCCAGGTGCAATGGGTTAAATGCAGAGAACTAATTTCGCTATTGTATGGAACATACAATGATGACAACACATAGCACTTTATTATTTATTATTTTATGAGGAGGGACTCTTAAATATTATGTACTGTCTTTTTCACTTAGTTCTGTCTTTTTTTGCTGATTTCAATGCCTTTTTTCATTTCCACAGTGTACATTCCACTGAATGTGTGGGCAATTTGGGACAGTTTTTCAAGTTGCTGAAAATAGGTGAACATGTCTCAGCCCACTCTGGGTTATAATTTTTACGCTGGTGCTTAAGTAGCCAAAACAGTCAAACTTACTTGTCTTTGGAAAGGTGAAGAATGAAACGCCTATCTTAGTTTTTGCTCAGTTTTCACAATTAATTGCATCGCAGCAAACCATGTCACCTACAAGGTATCCATACTCATACCCTAACAATTTACTACTTTGTGTGGGATCCTTTGTTTGTTTGTCACAGACGGCATTACATTTTTCCAGGTGATCATGGAAAATGCTGGAGAGTACGTTTTTTAATCTTTTGTCATTTAAAATTTGTGTGATTTTTTTTCAACTTTTATGACTTTCTTTCAACTTCAAAACATTTTTCATTTCACTTGTAGGCACTATAGTGTACAGACAACCGTGTACTAACCGACTGTGCAGTTTTGATGGCCACAAAGCGATGATTCCCCTCCTTCCCACAGACGTAGCCGAAGGCTCTGTGGTCTGTGATGTCCTTGGCAATATAGGAGATCTCATGAACTGCATGGTGGTGTTGGAGGATCTGTTAAAGGACAGAATATAAATGGTTGTCATATCTTGAAGTCCTGGAACCAGTTAAAAATGAGAAATCAGCTCTGATTCACACGGTTCATGAACAAACCCCCAAGAACTTGTAAAAAATAAATAAAACATTCAGTTTCCCTCAAGAGTACACTCAGATTCAGATTACACTCACACAGAGACCTTGTATCCTACACTGAACTGTTTGGAGCTCTTCTGCCCCCTCTGGTTCAGGCTGGGATGGGACTGCCAAGCTGGCATTGCCTGTGGCAGATGGCACTGTTTGTCCCGAGGACAGAGGAGGGGGGGATCAGTGACAATCACAGCTCGGCAAGCTGTCGGACTTGATCACTTCATCTGTGCCCCAACTCCCAACTCACAGAATTTACAGCTTAATATGCAACAGCCCTCTGTTAAGTCACACTAAATGTCTGCTTTGTTATTGTTGTTGATGCCAGCCGCATGCTGTGAGCAGACACACACACATGCACACACACACACAGTCACATAATAGTTCTGTGGTCCTTCAGTTCATGAAAGAGAGCTGGAGTTCTTCACAACACAAAGTAAACATACACATTAGTATTACACAGTACATACACAGTACACATACACACATTCAGGACTCTCTTGTAAATGAGCCCCCGAGGCTCAATGGGACTAACCTGTATAAATAAAGGTTGAATGAAAAAAACATCTGCTCCCTTTGTAGCCAATCCAGAGGTTGAGAGGTGAGAAATGGCAGACTGGAGTGAGTTTAACATGGGGCCATGAACACACACACGCACACTGTACACACAACAGAGACACACAATCCCTGTATGAGTCATGTCTTTTAAATTTAATAATTGGCGTAATGATCATTATTATGACCCTTGATTGTCCTGAAAATGACGTCTAAGGCAGTGCATGTGGGTGTGAATGCACACAACATTATAGCACAAACACACACGCACGTACCCACAGAGCTCATTTACAGAGGTTATTGAATTATCTCTGGGTGGGTGGCGAGGTGACAAAGAGAGACTGTGATTCAGAGCAGAGAATAAAATGACTGCCTAAATTCAATTGCTCATTTGTCTTTCTAGTAAAAAAGCTATAAAAAAAAGAAGCTGTTATCACATATGGAAATTCAGAAAGATAAAAAATATTAAATAAAACTGGAGATTTGGCAATTTTTAGAGAATCATAATCTGATTCCAGCTTTTCTTTCAGGAATCCTGCAAAATTAAGATAAAACTGACTGAGAAATTAACTTTAAACTGTTTAAACGTTAAATTAACAATTAGACCAAAGGCGAAGTGCTGATAATGTAAAAGTTAACCTCAATAAAAAATATATTTTAAACATAACTTTGGAGATGCCTATGATAGAGATGAATACGAGTTTCTTTAAAATTGACGTGAAAAAAATTCACGGAGGCAGTTTGGTTCAGTCTGGTAGACAGGCGTTTGGTTCTGTTGACCGGGCAGTGCACCTTCCATGTGTAATGGTAGGAGAAACACTGCACTTAAATTAGGCAGATCACAACTGCATTTCTCCCCTGTAGCATCAAAACAAGATAAATGAAAATTAAATAGTGTAAAGATTTGTCAAATCAGAGATCCATCCATCCATCCATCCATTATCTTTTACCCGCTTCTTCCATTTTTGGGTCACGGGGGTCGCTGGTGCACATGTCCAGCAATCACTGTGCGAGGGGCGGGGTACACCCTGGATGGGTCGCAAGTCCATCACAGAGACACATAGAGAAAAACAAGACAAACAACCATTCACTCTCTCACTCACACCTAGAGACAATTTAGAGTTACCAATCAGTCTAACATGCATGTTTTTGATCTGTGGGAGGAAACCGGAGCACCCGGAGAAAACCCACGCATGCACGGAGAGAACATGCAAACTCCACCCAGAAAGGCCCCTGGACCGGGATTTGGACCAGGGACCTGCTCACTGAGAGGCAGCAGCTCTTCCAGTTGCGTCACCGTGCTGCCCCGTCAGAGACGTCAGAATAATATTTGTGTTAAATAGGAGGCATAATGTGTCATTTTTGTATTTAATATTGTTTTGCATAATATTGATACTTTTCTTGCAAGCAAATTTTTTTAATGTAATTTATTTGAATTACATATTTGGGTTCTGTTTATTACATTGATTCAATACAACAAATTAAACAAATTGAAAAGGTAACAGATCATTGTAATACTTGGTTTATTTACATAATGACTTTAACCCTGGATGTCCGGCCCCTGAACTGTTGGCCTTCAGTAACTGTGGCCCACTGAGCGGTTTAGCGGAATAACCCTGGTCTAGTGGTTCTACACTTAATGCTCCTCAACCTCCTGTCTGAGGGGAGCGGGGCAAAAAGTGTGTGCTGAGTGAGTGGGGTCCTTCATGATGCAGGTGGCTCTCTTCCTGCATCTGAAGGTGTAAATGTCTGTGATGGTGGGGAGACTGACTCCAACAGTCTTCTGTGCAGCCTTCACCACTCTCTGCAAAGCTTTTCTTTCTGCAGCTGTGCAGCCTCCATGCCACACGTTGATGCTGGAGCACAGGATGCTCTCCACTGCACACCTGTAGAAGGAGGTGAGGACTGAGCTTCCCAGTCCAGATCGTCTTAGCTGTCTGAGGAAGTAGAGTCTCTGATGAGCTTTCTTGGTCAGGCTGGTGGCGTTGTTGCCTCAGGTGTGGTTATTACTCAGGCGTACACCCAAGTACCTATAACTGGAGACCAATTCCACCGCAGATCATCCTATGTGCGGGGTGTTGGGGGGGGGGGGGGGGGGGGGGGGGGGGTTGCTTCGTCTGAAATCCACAATCATTTCCTTCATCTTTTTCACATTGATGTGAAGGTTGTTCTTCCCGCACCAGCTCTGGTGTTCCACCTCCTGTCTGTAGCCAGACTCATCACTGTTGGTGATACATCTAACCACTTCTGTATTGTCTGCAAACTTTACAATAAGACTGCATATATGTTATATAGTTTAACAGTGTCAGACTTCACTGACCCACTCATTTCTTAATCTAAACTTGGATCCCATTAAGTTCTCTAAACTTCCTTCCAGTTCAAGATTGTTCCTTATAACACAACAGTTATATTGGTAAGTCCCCATGTGGCTGCTTTTTTTTCCTGTATTTAATGTCTAAACCAGTGGTTCCCAACCTATTTTCCTCAAAGACCCCCCTTCTTACTTCCTAGCCAATCTGAGCACACCCAGTCCCTCGCTACTCCCCTCTCCCAAAAGACTCTTTCAGATTAATCTCTTTATCAAGTGATAAAAAATAAAGTAAATGTTACAAGTAATATTATAAGTAATATTACAACAGTAGTTATATAAGTAAATATAGAATAAAGTCAATAAAAAAATAAAGTGAATAGTTACAAACTTTTATTTGTAAAAGGTATAAACTGGTAGTTGTACAACAATAATAACAACTACAAGAGCACTGTTTTGAGAATTACTCAAATAACTTTTCTTTAAAAAACAACAACAGAGTAATCTCAAAAACAGTCTTAAAAAGGTAAAAATTCTAGTTTAGTCAAGATATCTTCCTGATCCTATCATGCAGCTGATTTTTGCACTTTTCAGGCAAGCGGGTTTCAGAAGTTGTTCTCTAATATTGTGTGGCTTTTTAGCCTTAGCAATTAAAAGGGAACACTCAAAAGATGCTTCTGTGGCTCTGTGCAAATCCCTACCTGCTCTTTCAAAGTCTTGTCTGATGTCAGTGGAGCTTTTAGACAGTGCCAACTGCTTCTGAAAGTATTCCCGACTTTCACCAATAGTAATAATAACAATGTCTGCTCTAAACTAGGAAAAATGTACTTGTGTTGTCAGAAAAAATGACTCCTCTGTGTGTTTTAACACATGTAAACATTCACAAATGCATGTGCTTACGTTCATGTTATATATTTAATAAAACGTGAGCTTAACCAAGACCTCTTCCTACGTCTTCTCAACTGAGAGCCGAATGCATAGTACTGACGTCATAACAAAGCGCTCTTAAAGTGACAGTACAGGTGACATTGCATGTCAGTGTTGCCAGGTGTACGATGATTGTCGTATTTGTACGACAATTTTGCCCTCTGTACGATGTACGATCAATAATTCCAAAAAAGGCCAAATATATGATAATTTGACTATTCCGTGAATGTGTGGTTGTCATCAGTTGACATCAGCCTGTTGCAACTGTCTGTTGGAATTTTTTTGTGAACCTTGAAGGCATATGTGTCTGCAAACAGATGCACGACTGGCTGGAAATTCCAGCCAATCGTGCTTTTCTAAATGTTACGTACGAGTGACGTGTATGCATTTGCCTCAGAACAACGGCCATGATTGGCTGAATAGTCCGCTGCGCCCATGAGTGAGGAAAAGAAAAAAGAAAAAAAGAAGAAGCAGAGTCAGTCTGGAAGCAGACTCATCACTACTATAGTGCATCAATAGATTTGTTATTTTGGTTATGACGGGTGTACAATAATTTCCCTCAAAATACGATAATTTTATGTCTCTAGTACAATAATCCTACATTTCTCACCTGGCAACACTGTTGCACGTTCGTGGTGAGATGTATTGTGTCACTTCCTGTTTGTCTGTTGGTAGCTCAGTGAATTGTTTGCTCGAGTCATCTCTTGTTTTCCGGATTGAGCTGTCTTTTGCACAGTTTTTCATTCTAGTTCACAAAAAAACACACTTAGTACAGTTGTTTTTCTACTGTTGGATAGTGCTTAAAACACCTTTTATCTTTCAACACTTCTCGGTTTTTATTGGTGTATTGGGATCTGCTAGCTCCTGCTAGCATTAGCTTAGCATGGCTGCTCTTCTCTCCCTGCTTCCTCTGTTCTCACTTGCTCTGTGTGTCAGATGTTTAGTTACTCCTCTGCCTCCTTTAGTGATAACATGTAACAAATGTAGTCTTATGGTAGTTTTGGAGAAGAGGCTGGCTGAACTAGAAGCTCAGCTCTGCACTGTAGAAAAACCAGTTGCTAGCCAGGTCCCCTTAGACAGC